AGTGTTTTATCTTTCTCTGCAGGGCTGTATTCTGCATTGGCGGGGTGGACTGAATGATCTAATGGGTTTTCTTCCATCTCCAGCTGCTATGCTTAAGAGCGTAGGCTTAGACTTTTAGTTCCGGCCAGACTCGTACAGTTTTCCATAAGAGCTTCCTCAGAGAAGCATAAGAAATCCTTAGGCTCTTGCCGTCTAGAGCTGTGGAAGAGGTTTTTATTGTGCATGACCTCTGCCATGCAGAGGTGTCATGTTCAGAAGCAAAGCGTTGTGCTTGTGGATTTTGGACCTTTGTTTTCTTAACTAGTGGAAATAGGATTTCTTTTTATGTTTGTGTAACTTTCTTGACAAAAATGTCTCCTGTTTCTTCAAGTAGCTGAAGTATCAATTCACTTGCAACAACTGTTTAACCTTTTTGTTTTTTCCTTGTATAGATTTCAGCTTTTTGTGCTGCTCAGTGGTATCATTTCGAAGAGGTAGATGCATTGCATATATATGCCTAAAAAGCATGGTTTCTTCCTCTCCAGTAACCAGTAGTAAAATGCCATATAATGTAACTGTCTTGGCTTTTGATGACTGACAAAACTTGATGTCTTTTTCTAAATAAGCTTAGTGGAAGACTGCTACTGCTCTCAATGAAAGCTACTGTTTTATTGAGTGTGTTGTGTAAGCGCTCTCCTGACATCTAAACAGCTCTGTCTGTGTGTGTGTGCCAGCAGGATTATTCCAGTGGGGCTTTTTGCTTTCATTTCTGTCTAATTTGCACTATGACAAAAAGAAGTATCTCTGCTATTTCCATTCACAGTGACAGTCTTGGATTTGGGGGACTGATCCCAACAGACTGTTTGGGGAATTCGCAGGCAGAAAAATGTGTGATAGGATTTGTGTGTGGACAGAGTTGGATGTTTCTGGAAAGCCTCCAACTTACTGCAGTCTGCCAGTTACTGTTCAGTGGACCTAATATTTTGAGGTTATTAGTCTTCTGTATGTGTGCAGAAGTGCTCCTAAACGGCGCTATGAAATGCGTGGAGAGTCCAGGAGAGAGAATCCTCTAATTTTTGAGTGTTAAAAGAGGACCTGTTTGGGGGAAACCCAGTTGCCTTGTATCTGCAGAGGATGCAGTGCCTCTTGTGCTGGCCATTCATTTGGGCAAGATGAAACCCCGAATTCAGGAGGAAGATTGAGGAAGAAAGGGAGGTGCATGGCAGTGTGATATGTTCTGGTGCTCGGCTTGTCGTGCTCAGCTGCTGGAGAGTTGAGCTGATGATGTGTTTGGGTGTGCTAATATTTTCACTTTTTATTTTTATCTCAAACATGAGGTGCAGCTAAAATTTGTTGGAGCAGCTCTATTTAAAAATAGTGAAGCGGGTATTTGTCCTGGCTAAATCAAATTAGTACAATTGCTAGAGAAAATGAGTCAAGTGAGAATGTCCTGTTACATGCTCCTTTCAATGAAATGTTTGCCCAAACTATTTGGCTAGGTGCCGTCGCCACAACTTCTGTTTAGCTTTTATTCTAGTATTTATTTCATGGATGGTAAGAATATACTATCTGTTGCTGGCTGAAGATAATCCAGGACAGCTAAGGGCAGAGGAAGGCAGACAGCTATTTACTTAGCTTGATTCAACTTCCAGTAAGCAGCTTGGAGGAATGCTCTGAAATTGTCATTAGGGATTGGTCCCAGAATCATGAAAGAAAGAAAAAGGAAACTTTTTGGGACATAATGAATTCATTTTTGGACATAATGAGTTTCTAACCCCGATCTGCTTCCTTTATCCTAAAGAGACCAGCCAGAATTAACTGTTTGGATCTCTTAACCCACTTTTCAGTGGCCAGTCTGGGTCAGAATTATGTCAAAGGAATATTTTAATTTTATCTTAAAGATGCATATGAATGGATCTAGATGTATTAGGTTAAGCATTTTTGAGATTATTTCATTTCTTTTGCTTTTATGCCACTGAATTTAACACCACTTCTCCAAGCAGTATGGAAAAAAATTATCATCGGTCTTCAATAATAAAAAGAGGAAAAAAGGTGGAGACACTAACTGACAGCTTTTCATATGGAAACCTCTGAGTTTTATTCTCTGACCTCAGCTAGTAAGACTTTCAGTAACTGAGAAAGCTTGTGTTTGCAGGCAGTTCCAGTGTTTGCAGAGAGACCGTGGCTATAGCTGTGGTTGGTCGGGTCTTGGAGCCGCCCAGGCCTCCATCAGCTGCACTTTCGTTCCTCTGCTCTGAGTGTGAATAAGTGCTTTTGTCATGGGCAAACAGGAATTACCTATTTCCCAATCAGCAGCCAAGTCGTCTGGAAAGCAGTGGGAGGGAGGGGTGCTTCCTGCCTCGGAAACAGGGTGTATTGGGACCAGGACCAGTGCTTGTGACCTGCCTGCAGCGACTTTCCTTTGTTGACTAACTTTTTTCTCATCATCTGATTTAGAGGCTCTTTGGAGTCATTTCCCAAATAATTATGTGAAAGAGGAGTTTTCTCCAGAACGAAAGTGGTCCTTCTAGCAGGGAGGGGAGGAAAGAAGGGTGGGTGAAGCAGAGGCTCTCGGCACTGTGCTGATATGCTGTATGTTTTTGTTCAAATTGGCGTCTTCTGTTGAATCCTCTGTGCTTTGGGATGCTAGTTCTTTCAGCTGAGGCTTGTTTTATATTCTTTTAATGTTTGTTGCATGTGATTAAGGCAGTATAGAAAAGACTTGCTGCTGGGTCCACCGACGAGAGTGCCATAGTCGAATCCTAATAAATACAATTTTGTATGGAACATTGAATATTAACACAGCTAATCTCCAAGGTGATGAGGCTGGTGGTGCTACTTCAGGATTGCTTGAATCTTGGGGCTTTTGGAGGTTCTGATTTACGTAATTACTTGCTTGAAAAGGAAACAGGATTTAAATGCTTTTAAACAGGTGTTACATTGTAATGCCTGGGACATTTCCTCCCTCTCTGTGTCCTGACAGATCTCAGCAAGTTCAAAAGCCTTGTGGCAGAGCAGTCTCCTGTGCTGGAAGGTGATGGAGTCAGGCTTTATTGGTGTCTTATTAATACACGAAAACGGGGTGCTGACTTCCATGAGCAGTACTAAACGGTGCAGAAGCTTTCTTCTTGAAAGCTTGAGGAGATGCTCACTGCTCCCAAATCTGTTCTGTAACTGAGGGAAGGAGAAGAAGTGATTTAGTGGGGCTCTTCTCTGGCTGGTGGCCCTGTTCGGGACTCCCTGGTGTGAGGATGGTAGGTCTGGTGCTAGCAATACTCATGGCTTTGAGCTACCATCTGCAGTGGACTTCGAGCAGGCCTAAGGCCTTGTCAAGATCCCCATCCAGCCCAGAGCCAACCACTTAAGCTTAACAATAAAGTTCCCCCAAATTTGAGCCCATAGAAACTCTAGGAGCATCAAATGTCCAAACCGAGCAGTGGCAAAAGTTTGCAAGAGCCTGACAAGGCCTCCTTGGCAGTGCAGGCAGTTCTGACCAAGTGTAGAACTTGGTTAGAATCTGTTGCCCTGCCAAGCCTGCATAGCCGCAAACTGTTGCAAGCGCATGAAGCCGTGGCATCGGCGCTCGCTCTTTCTGCAGAGCGCAGAATGCCTTTGCGAGGAGGGGAAAGGAGAGCCTGATGAGAGAAACTTCAATCCTAGAAACTAGAGCTTGTCAGGACAAACTTTCTTGTCTTTAAAGGGAGATCAGAGGCAGTGAAAGAGGGTTAAAGCCACGCTTGCTTTGTTTAGTAAAGAGCGTTCGTCACAGACTTTTTTTGTTCTTGTTTGCTTGTTTAATATGTATTGAAATGAGAACTTTGATCATTTGATAAGGGGATCAGAAGGCTGCTGAATTTTGCTGTTAAGTACCTCTGTTCCTTTTGCTGAAATGCAATTTTCATAGAGTTGTGGTACTTGATGAAATCACAGCATGAGTCTTTACACTGCCTGTAATAGTCAAGTCAAAGGGGCTCACTTCTCTACTAAAGGAGTAGTGGGTGGGTTCAGAGCTGCTATAATGAAGTAATGGAGTAATGCTTAAATCTGGTAAAACAATTACTGAATCAGTGGGGAAATAAGCCCTGCGCTTACCCCTTAGTACAATGCGGGTGTCCCTGTGGGTGGGGGCTGTTTTGTAAGACTGTGGTCTTGACTACCACATAAAGAATCTGCTGCTGTGTCTGAAGTAGAAAGAAAAACAAAATAAAATAAAAATAAGAAAAACAAAATAAAAGATCTTGTCTGCCTTTTTTTGGACTGAGGGCAAAAAGCCTTATGATCTGCCTGGTCTCTGTCCTGCAAGTTCTTGGCCTCACCAGTGTTGGTCTCCATCTGTCTGGTGATTTTTGTGGTGCAGACAAACACTGTAAAGGGTCAGCATCATGTAATTGCTCCCCACCCCGATCCAAAAGAAACCAAGGCTGAAATCCAGGCTTAAAAGATAAAAGTTATTAAATCACCTCACTGTCATTTAGCACCACTGTTGTCTTGAAAGTCCCTGGGCTTGGTTTCAAGTGGAAGGGTTGATGATCTGAGCCTTTTACTAAATGGTCCTGGAGATAAGTTCAGTATAAAGTGTGGACACCTCTACTGTAGCACTGCAGAGCTTGACTGAAGAGTATTCGTCCCTCATTGGATGCAAGCGGTTCTAATTAATAGATGGCATTAATTCTGCAAAGCTAGGTAACTCCATGGAAGTCAGGAAAGTTGCCTCAGCTGATACCACCTCTGAATTTGGTCCTGTATGTTCATGCACAGTCAGAGAATTCCTGGAATCCAGCTGAGCTGGGGAGAGCAGATGGTAGCCCAGAGTGTTGTGCTGTGGCATTGACACAAAATTGAGTTTGGATGGGTGAGCGTTAAGCAGAATAACATTTCCTTGTGGCTTGACAAAAATTCTTGCTGCTATAAGAGGAGAAGCTGGGAAGAAATCAAGCATGAGTCAGTGCTTTTTAGATGGTTTAAAGCATTCGAATCAAAGCAGAATGTCAAGCTTTTTGATGATGCATAATAATGATTAACTCTTTCTAAGTGTGGCTTTATTGTTTTGACAGGATCATCTACTTTCAAAAAATCACTCACCTCAGAGGTAAGTCTCTGATTGACAAACTGATTTTTGTTCCCTAGCTAGGAGAATGCCCTCTAAGGGATGGTTCCAAATGCCTCCTTTCATACTTATATATGAATGTAGCACAAGTAGCAGACCAGGCAGTGGTAAGGCTGCAGTAAAGTGGAGATATTTGTTTGGGAAATCAGAAGGTCTTTCCTTACAAGGAGAATCACTACTTAAAAATCCAGTGCATCCTGAAACTGAACACTTCCTGTGCCACCAAACACTGGATAGGCACCCTGCCGAAACCAAGAATTTGGACCAAGAAACACCAGTTAAAACAATGTGTTAAACAGAAGGCAGCGAGTCAAGCATGAATCGGCATGGGGCGCAAATTGAGGTGAAGGAAAGCATGGTGAGTGACTGTGGTTGGTGTGAACTCAGAGCCAGTCTGTTTGTGGTGCTGGTGATGAGGAAAAAATAAAGCAAAACCGCATGCTCCTTCCTCGTATAACAGCAAACCCAGATGGTCTTACATGAAGGTGTTTCTCTACTTAGTTTCCAGGCCTGAATCATACACGAGGAGCCAGTCAGTTCTTTGAAAACCTTTAAATGCCACTCTTTTTCTGAAGATGAGCATACATGGGATCCTCCTTTCACATGCACCTAGGGACCTGGGGCTTCAGTAGTACGCACTTTACAGTTTCCATCTTTGAGAATGGCAAAGTTATGCCAGGTGGTTCTGGGCAGACATAGGTCTCTAAGAAACTGTTTCTTAAAATTCTTAGTTCTTACTATTTTTCCTCTCCCATCCTAGATGCCAGGTTCTTCTGGACAGCCGGGCTCACAGACAATAAAGAAGGGGCATAGAGGAGTGGATTCCACAGGGGAGACGACCTATAAAAAGGTGGGTTGCCTCTTGCACAGCTCATCTAAATGTTATCCTTCTCCTGTTTGCAACACCATGGCTGCCCAGAATGTCAAATGTGTCTTGTGAGGTTCAACGTTAGGTGGTGGGTGGTGCCTGTGAGTCGCTGAAGATGATCTCAAAGGGAGCACAGCCTTCCGAGCTTGAAAAATCGGTAGCCTTCTAAAGAGGAGATTATTTTTAAGCTTTGCCCATTAGCAATGCTTCTTAGGCCCCTTCTGATTTACTGGGTGCTTTCTATGCTCTTCGGGCATAATAATTTCTACAGATCTTGTGGCATTTCTGGAATTTGCTTTACAAAGGGGAGATTGTCTGGATATAGATATACTTGTCCGTTTGGTAAGGAATCAGAGTGAATGGGAGGAATTCAAGTGGTGTTTTTACAGAAGCTGTTTTTTGTTATAGTGCCTTTTGAAATTGCTTGTGTCTTTGAGAGTTGGCTTCCAGTCTCCCAGCAAGTTCAGAGGCAGAAAGTTGACAGCAGTATTAGGAGAAAGAAGATAGAAGCCAACGTAAATGCCTGAAATGCTTGCTTGCAAGGATCCCAGAAACCTGATGGGACGCTACATGGGGTTTATTTGGCAATGAAGCTAATGGACAGTCAGTCCTTTTTCACCCTCCCCTTTTCCAGGGGTCATTAAATTGTTTTCATAATTCTTTGCCATGTAAAAGCAACTGTAAAAAGGCAGCCAGCTGCTCAGCTGATCTTGCTGGCTAATAGAAGAGAGAAATACTTGTTCCTTGGCGACCTGACCCTGTGGCTCTGTGTTCACAAACAAGGGAGCAATGCTGTGCTGTGTTGGTAACTTTGGTTTCTCAACAGTAGGACTGTTCTTGGGGTTTGAGTAGGACTAGATGGGCTGAGCGTGCTGAGCAAGTTTTTGTTGCTCTCTCTTCAGGTAACCCTAACCAGATCTTGTAGCTCTGATAGGAAAGAAACAGTTAAGTGGGAGGAATGTTCCTGTCCGTTTTACAAGGCTTCATGGAGGATGTGTGTCTGGAAAAAAGTGTGAAATATTTATCCCTCAATCTGGTCTTAGATACTGAGGGATACCTCTGTTGCCAAATGCTTTGATCTACAGTGATTTCTTGCATGTGCCGGGGGCTGAGCTTTGTTTAGCTTAAGGAAAAACACAAGCTAGTTGGATCATGAGCCCTGGATCTTGTTCTGGATTCAGTTGCTTTATGTATAAGCCAAGTGAAATATCTACAAGCTGCAGCACACAAATCCAACTTGCACCTGCTCTGCAGCCTCAACATTTCCAGCAAGCTTTACAGCAGAGTTCATGTCTCCGTGCTCAGGGAATTAATATCAGGGTGTTGAGCAGATCTTAGCTGGCTGTTCGGGGAAGGACAGCCCATGCCTCGATCCAGCTCATGCTATGTCCCTGGTCTGAGAAGAGATCATGTGCTTTATAAACAGAAGGGGACTCTTGATGTAAGTAACTGTTACAAGAACACAGTCCTACATTGTTCTTGGTCTGTGCAGAGGATGCAGGAGTGGGATTTGTGTCTTTGCTGCTCCTTATTTTAAAATGACTGAGCTGTTTAGTGTTAAAGAGCCACAATCTAGCAAAAGAGTCAGACAGAAGGATGAGATAGTGCTGGAGCAGAAGTGTGTTGTGTGCTGGCCATGCGGCTGTGCCTGCCTGGCCCTGTTGAAGACCTGAGTCTGTGCCCAAGCTGTTGAATGTCAAACTTCAAACCATGTCATCCCAAGACCTGGTAGACCAAGGTGACAGGAAGCATATTTATTCACAGATGAGGCACAGGATAACCTGTCCTTGGATATCTTCTCCCTCCGACTATAGCATGCTGAAATGAGCACCGTGGGAGGAGGAAATCCAGTCTTTGGAGGACCAGCTGAGTGATGATTCCAGTCCTTTACAGCTCTGCTACCCAGAGCAGAAGAATCAAGTAGTATGTGGTCAGGGATATAGACAGGTTCCCAGGTGAACAGGGTATCCCCTAGTTCGGCAGCAGCTTCAACATCCTGTCATCACAGCTTACTCAGGTCTAGTCATCCATGCACCCTTTTAGACTGCTATGAGACACGGCAGCCAAAGTGATGTTAGTCAATGAGAAGAATGAAAGAAACTGGAACCAGTAGGTGTAAAATACCCTAGCTGATTTAAACCTGTGGCTCTTTTTTCTTCTCTTGAAACTCTGTTCATCTCCGTCTGCAATATGCTGCTCCACATCACTTCTAACTCATTTGTTTTCTGCCTTTGCAGACAACCTCATCTGCCTTGAAAGGTGCCATTCAGCTGGGCATTACACACACAGTTGGAAGCTTGAGCACCAAGCCTGAAAGAGACGTTCTCATGCAAGATTTCTACGTAGTAGAAAGTATTTTCTTCCCAAGGTCAGTCCTTGTGTTCTCCTCTCTGCTGTACTTGATAGTCAGCAGCAACACTAGTTCCTAACCCTACTTGCATGTTAGAAAGCAACACCAAACCCAAACATTTGACTGCAGGTGTGAGCACAGCTCTTCTGAGCAGAGCTACTCAGCATACTGCTTACAGCTCTGGTTCCTATCTGCTGTCTCCTGTTTCTGAAGAACCCTGGCTCTTCCCTGTATATGACAGACCGTTGGTTATGTGACCAAATTCTGGTTTGCTGTTGTATGTGCCTAGATGTGTCCCTTTTGTGTGGGTGCTTTCTAGCCCTTGGGTATGTTAGAGCCAGCCAGCGGGTGATTGCTTTTAGGGCGGTCTCTTAAGAAGCCTTTCAGATACAAATACTTGTGTGTGTGCTTCTTCCCTTGATCAGTGAAGGGAGTAACCTGACCCCAGCTCATCACTACAATGACTTCCGGTTCAAAACCTATGCTCCAGTGGCGTTTCGCTATTTCCGGGAGCTGTTTGGGATCCGACCAGATGACTATCTGGTACGTTGGTGGTTGGACTAAGTTCCATTTTGTTGCATGTTCTGTGATTGATGGTTTGTCCTCTTCTGCCCTGTCAGTGCCATGGAGCGCTGTGTGGCCCCATGGCAAGCACAGTGGTGGATGCTGCATATATCCCTAGGGTTTGCCTCCCTTAATGTTTAAAAGGAGGAGCCCGTGAACTCAGGCTTCCTATTGATCTCTCTTCCACCTCTGCTTTTTTCATCGTATCTTCCTCAGTACTCGCTCTGTAATGATCCGCTCATTGAACTTTCAAACTCTGGGGCCAGCGGATCCCTCTTCTATGTATCCAGCGATGATGAGTTTATCATCAAAACAGTTCAGCACAAAGAGGCAGAATTCTTGCAGAAGCTGCTACCTGGCTACTACATGGTAAGTCACTTGGGTGAGGCTTTCTCTGCAAGCTAGGAGAGAGGTCCCCAAAGGCACAAACATGGCAGATGTTGCTACGTGTGGCCTGGTAGATGCATGTGGAGGTTTGATCTGTGCCTCAGCTGACTGAGAGTGGCTGTACAAAGTTGGGTGCCAATCCTTCTTCTCTCTCAACTGCCTAGTGATGACAGTGACAAAGACAGTCACTGAGTAAGACAGGGTACCTGGGTATTACAAACCTTGCGTGCTGCGCAGGAGTCTTGCACTACGCTTTGTAACTTGGACTGTTTTGGAGGCTTGCGGGTTGCTTTTTGACCAGCTGTGAGCTGCTTATTGCTGCCTCGAGGCAGTTGCAACACAGGGTCGTGCCCGTAGTACGTTGTCTTGCAGACGTTTCCCTTCCCCTTCTCAGGGCTATACTTGGGTTTGTCTGCAGAGATGAAGCATTCTGTTGATGAATTCTGATTTTAAGTTTCTGTATATAGAGGCAGCAGCTTTGGGAATAAAGGCATGTTCATTTTATAAATGTGGTTATAGCGAAAAAAGCCTTTTCAGTCCTGGAGCAAAATCAGATCTCACCCTGAAATGTGATATGTGTATGATCTGACTGCTCTGTTTTTATGTCCATCCAGGCCCTTATAAGACACCTCTGAATGGGAATTTAGCCAGGAGATATCCCTGATTTACAGAAGTGCCTTGGAATTTTTAATGCTGTTGGGGCTGCTAGCTGAATTCTGTAAACTGCTTCTGGACCCACAAGTATTTTTGCTTTGATTATATCCCAGAACCACACTATTTTTCTTCAGAACTCTGTCTAGTGTCTTCTGCAGCCCTCAGTTTTAGATCAATCCCTATCCTGATATGCTTAGCTTGACCCAAGTGCCAAATTTAAAAAGGCTGAGCACAAAACTGTCCTCTACCCTGAAGAATCCCTGGCTTAGCCTCTGGCAGGTGATTACGTGAGTGAGCAACTTCTGCCTTTATGAGCTTTATCTGAACCATTCAGCTTTGCAAAGAGGTTATTAACAACTGTAGGCATCATCTGTCTGTTCACTGTGTTCACCTTGCCTCTTAGCTTATTTGACAATTGTTTCAAATCCTTGCCAGCTGTGTCTCAATTTAGAGGCACAAGAAGGAGCAAATAACTCCTCAAACTGGCACGTGAATAACAAGAATGTCTTTGAAAACGTTTGTGTCTTTGGCGTTTCAGAACTTGAACCAAAACCCAAGGACGCTGCTGCCAAAGTTCTATGGCTTGTACTGTGTCCAGGCCGGGGGCAAGAACATCCGCATTGTCGTGATGAACAACCTACTGCCACGCTCTGTGAAAATGCATCTCAAGTATGACCTGAAGGGCTCCACCTACAAACGCCGAGCGTCCCAGAAGGAGCGAGAGAAGGTCTTTCCAACCTACAAGGACTTGGATTTTATGCAGGACATCCCTGATGGCCTGTTCTTAGACTCTGACATGTATAATGCTTTGTGCAAAACATTACAGAGAGACTGTTTGGTAAGTGGAAGGGTGAGGGGCGGTGTGGAGAGTTCTTTCCCTTTCCTGAGCTTCTTCCAAAGAAAAGTAGGCAGCAGCCACCATCCCTGCAGCCTCTGCCTGGGATGTGGACTAGAGAACTCTTGTGTGTGTATGGTAGTGTGGACAGGAAACAGGACCTGGAGCACAGTTTCCTTCCATGCTTCCAATCTGAATTAAGCTCAGCACAGCCTTTAGAGGGAGATGAAGCAGTGTCTTCCCTCCCTCTGCCAAGATTGCGCCCTGGAGTAGGGCAAGATGCTGGGAGAGGGGCAGGATTGCTAGACTGAGTCTGGTTTCAAGTTCTGAATTGCCTTTGAGTAGCTGTGCAGAAGTCAGTGTCTTCTAGCTTGGGTCCCTGTCTGCACAAGAAGAGTAATGATGGCTGTCCTGTAACCCTTTTTGGCACCTGTAGATGAGATTAGTGTGCACAAGCTGTGGATTAAAAGCCATCCCCTCAGCACACTCAGGGCTCTCAGCAAAAATGCTGACCAAGCTCATTAAACCATCTACTCTGACATTTTCCCTGGGCTTGCAATACTGAATGAGCCTTTGTTGACTTCCTGCCCAGGTCCTGCAGAGTTTTAAAATCATGGATTACAGTTTGCTTGTGGCAATCCATAACATTGATCAGGCACAGAGAGAGCATGCGATGGCAGATGGGACATCCCAGAGTGATATGCGGCGACCAGCTGCCCAGAAGGCCCTGTACTCCACAGCCATGGAATCTATCCAAGGAGAGGCCCGGCGAGGTGGCACCATAGAAACAGATGACCAGTAAGTCTGTGTCAGTGTTGCCACTCCACTGAAGTATTGTGAGGAGTGAGGGGTAAAATCTAAGCTTGGCTAATGGAGACTGAATTTAGATGCAAACTGGGCTGTATATGATTGCTGTTGCACTGGGCAGAGAAGTCTTGGTGTCAAATCTTCTTGTGCAAAGTATTTGACTTCAGTTCCCCTTCCTTAATGTACAGAAGGTTTTCTGGATTTCCAGGGAGCTTTTGAGTTTTTCTCTGCCCAATGGTTATTTGCAGCTTCAAACAATTATTTTCACCTGTCTCTAAGGCATAGCGATTGCCTGGCTGGACTAACAGTCCAGAAAGTCCAGCTGCTATCATCAGTATGGACAGTAGTGGATGCACTTACTGCTTCTTGGTCTCCTCTCATGGGTGAGTTGGGATTAATCAGTCCTCATCTTCCATAAAATTGCCATGCAGAGGGAAAAGGGGGATCAATTTTTAGAGGTTTAGCTAACTTACCAAAATAGCATTTTTCTTGACTTGTTTTCCCCAGTTTGTTAGCTCAACAGTAGGTGCTTCCTGCATGTTGATACTTGTTAAATAGTTTACATAGTACTCGGCCCATGCCAGGCTGCATGAGAGAGGCAGTGGTGTGTGAAAACAC